AGTTTCAGGCTCGGTACTCTGAACCGAGTGCTTGTGGGGTGACAGCTCTGGGTGGTTGGTGGCGTGGAGAGTTTTTTATTATTATTACTTTTTTGTCTTGTAATGTGTGTCGTGGTATCTAGACTGCATTCGGTAATCCTCCTATTTCGGCTAGTTAGTCAGTTATAATAATGATTCTTTTGTTTCTAAAAAAAAAAAAAAGGAGCTGCGGTGCGGGCCTCTATGTGTTCCACCGGTGAGGACCCGTTTGGGAATGATCGGATTTGGTGTCAGTGGATGTCGTTAGCCATCTTCGTCTTAGAGGGAGTTTTTCCGTCTGCTTCTTGGGTGTGGTCTTACTCTCTTGGGTATGTTGTCATGTGCCTGGCCCGGGTAGGTGATTAGGATCCTCTTGTCGACTATTGAGGAGAGCATTATTGTAGCTTCTATTTATGTTTTGAATGTGGTAGTATGTGCGTCTTTGTGATTGTCGATTTTTGTCATGAGTAATTGTTTTGTTTTCTCCTCTTTTGGAGTGTGATTTACTCCCTTTTGGGAGTATGGATTCTCCACTTATGGGAGCTTTGCATTCTCCACTTGTACGAGTGTTTTTCTTTTTTGTTTGGTTTCTGTAGCGTGTGTTGTTGTTTCTAGGCTTCCTTGAGTAGTCATTCTATTCCGACTAGTTAGTCTATTGTAATGATGTGTTTTAGTTAATTAATCGATCGTTTTGAAAAGAAAATTAAAAAATAAATGAAACTAAGGAGAAAATGATCATATGACACAAAATAACCAAAAGAACCTTTTGACAAAATAACCAAAAGAATATTTGTTTGTATGCAAAAAGCTATTATATTTAAAGTGAAACATAATATGGCGATTATGAGAGAGCACTAGTTGGTTCGGCTCGGAGATCTAGAAATCTCCAAAACCGAACCAAACTTCGGAGAACTCAAAAACTGGATCTTCAGAATCGAATCGGTTTCAATAAATATCTGTTCCGAACCGAACTGAAATTTGGTCGGTTCAGTTAGGAGATTCAGGTCTAATGGATCGGTTTGATACGGATCGGAGATTTTGAAGATTTTGTTTTTTTTTTTTATAAAAAATAATTAAAAAAAATCTCCTAATTACATGCTAGATGATACATATCATGGATACAAGAAAATCCCAAACTTCTCTTGATTTCAAAAGATATTTCGCCAATTAATAATAAGTATATGTGTTAAAATTTGTTTTTAGTTCATAAAAAGAGTGACAAATATCTTTTAGTTGTTAAATATCATTAGTTCAAAAAATAATTTAACTTGAAAGATTTATATGCTAATTGCTTATATGCCAAAAATTCCGCTAGTGATAAGACGTACCCATGAACAATAATCAATTTAAAGATAGTTACTTGTTAAATATATACATATAAAGTTTGTTTCAGAAAAAATGAGAATTTTTAATCTTACTAGTATTCGACCCTGTGCATTTGCACAAATGTAAATAAAGTATTGTGAGTTATTTGTATGCATATAATGATTAATCATTTTTCTTTCACATTTTTGCAGGCCAAATTTACAATTTAAATAATTGGAATGTTTATTTCTTTAAATTAGATTTATCTGATTGGATGTAATGTATATTTTAGTACGTCTTTTTGTGTGAATTATTTATTATTTATTTAAGAATTTTAAATACTTTTTTATTTAAAAAATAATTTAAATGTAACTACGATAATAACATCTACTCACATTATACGGTCAACTCATTATATGGTCAACTGTCATTAATCAAAAGTTTAAAATAATTTTTGTAATTTTAAAGCGATTAGTGTTGAATATTTAATAATTAAATGAAAGATTAAATACAAAAAAGTAACGGTTTTTTGAGGAAAAAGGTTAAATTGCCACATAGGTAAAATTAAATAGGTTTTATTAAATGCTATTAGCTAGTAATTATATATATATAGATTAAGTTATAATTTATTAATTTATTAATGAAATAACCGGTATATCCATTCATAATCCAATATTATGGTAAAAATATCTATCAATTTATTTATTTGAAATTATATCACCTTTAAATATTAATTCTCTCCAAATTCTGTGAATGACTTAATTCATAAAGGCTGGTTTGGAAATATTTGATATTTAAATTTGATAAAGTTATACTTAATAGTTTTCTGAATACAAATTTTGGCATGATTTCTACCAAAATTTGTAATATGAAGAGTACATTAATTGGATATTTTTTAAAAATTGATTCGAAAATGAGATCTTAGATTTATAATATCTCATATCCAATCTGAATATAAAATAACTATTTTTCAATCAATTAATTCTATTCATATTCAATAGTGGATGTTTATTCACAACTTAAATTTAATTATAATTTATGATAGTCTTATGGACATTGTTATACCACAAATACTCGAACCGCTGGACCGCTCCTCTCGAACCGGGTTGCGTCTCCTTGATCGTCGGTACCTGCAAAGCACGCCGGGGGTGGTCCTGGCGCGAACACTCCGACGCTCAAGTCAGTGATGGTCTAGAGAGAAAACGACTAACGAGATAACTCGTGAATGTGTGTTGTGTAAAAATGAATGAACTTGCTCCTTTTATAGGAGAAACTTGGAGAGTCCTCTTGAGACAAGAACTCTTCTTGAAGTTTATCTCTTTTGTCTCTAGAGTCCTTATTGCTGTCAACCTCCTCGTAACTTGACCTCCACGCCAATATCAAACTCCAGCCCCTTTGACGGTGCCCTTGGGCCGGGCTGCCTAAATGTCGAGTACTCTCTAACGCCGACCACCCGAGGCCGCCGAGCACTCTCTAACCGAGCACCCGGGGCCGCCGAGCACTCCCTAACGCCGAGCACCCGTTGTCATGATGCCTAGCCGGTTCCCTTCATATGACAGCACCGAGCACCCGTTGTCATGATGCCTAGCCGGTTCCCTTCATATGACAGCGATGATCGGATCATAACCGGTTCAGCACGAACCACTTCTAGCGACCACATCATCTAGCCCCCCATTCCTTAGAAAAGCCAAGTTTGTTGTAAAAAATGAAAAATCATACACATCATAGTAACCATTGCGCCTACCTCGCCCAAACTTTCTCAAGACCATACGAGCTCGCTCGCATAATCCCGTGTACCCGATGCTAGGCACTCAAGACCATTCTACCGATGCCGAGCATTCATG